ATGTACTACAAATAACTACTACCCACAACGATTAAAAGAATATCTATCTTATGAAACAAGTGGTTTCTATCCATATGCAGATAGTTTTTCTCTTGACTACGATGTTGGTTATTACAATGTCCCATACTATGCAGACGTGTACAATCTTCAAGATTCGAATGAAACTTTGGAGAAAGAAGATAATTACGAGAGAAAATATTCACTTTCCAAAGAAGAAGTTTTTCTTAAAAATGATGATTGTAACTCTCTTTACGAAGAAAATCAAGAAATGAGAAAAAAACTTGAAGAGCGAGAAAGAGAAATCGAACGATATGAGAAGATGTTCACAGATTCGAGAAAGAATGAGGTGAGACTTGATAATATTAACAAGGAGCTTAAGAAGAGGGTCAAAGAACTTCGAGAAGAGAATGCTCAGATGAAAAAAAATCTAGTTTATGAGAAGCGAATCTCTGACAATCTTCGAAATGAATGTGTTCGAAAGGAAGAGTTGATTGTTAGACTTCAACAGGCAAGAAGAAGCACATATCATCCCAAAGATCGTAAACAAGATTACGATAAGATTGTAGATGAGAATAAAAAGCTAAAGAGAGAAATATTCTTTTTCAAAGAAACCAATATGGGTTTGATCGAGGGAAACAAGAGAAGAAAAATCTCTTATAATTCAGATAACGAATCAGAAGGTAAGTATAACCAATGTGACCATTAAAGGATCATGTGTAAATAGTTTAAAAAAATCCATATTTGTATATTAAATATAAATAAAGAGCGTGAACTGCCTATTTTTATCTAATCTCAAAATGCTGAGTCTGACGCTTGAATTAAAATGTGCAATTTTTGTTATGATTCGAAACCCAACATCATTAATTCTTTCTTCAAAGGAATGGTATAAGATCGGGCTTGATGTTGTTATACGTGCTCGATGGTTGATATTCCATTATGGAAGAACACACTCTTTGTTTTATGCGATAAGATCTGGTCCTAAATTTTGCGATGAGAATCTTCTGAATGTTCTTTTTAATCGAGAAATCTTCCCATCTCGTTATTTCATTCAACGT